TCTGTTGTTGTGATTGAACACTATGACCAAAAGGAATGTAAGGATAAATGTATCTCCTGCGTTATGGAACACTTCCTCAGTCAGGCAAAGGGCTGGAGATTAAAGAACACAAGAGAGGTGGTTCATTGGTGAAGAGAGAACACAGAATGCCGTTTATTCAAGACAGAGAAAGCCGTATATACCTAACTGCTACACAGTGGAAATCCCCCAGGCAGGTGGGAAATTACCAGGCTCAAGATGGAGCATTCAACTCCCCTGTAGCTAACCACCAGGGTGGGCAGAGTGAGCACAGGAACAAACAAGATGTTTTGTCAGAAACTGTAAGCTATCCTCAGTATGAACCCTAGGAGGAGGGGTAGACTGTGGACCCTACAGGTCTCCCTTTTTTTTATAAATTTATAAATGACTAAGCCTGTCTTGGGTGGCATGGACGTCAGGCAGGACCCCTTACCAGTTATGGGAAAGCATTTAGATCAAAACACATTTTCTGTCTTAGGTTGGGGCAGCCCCCTGCCCCCAAGACCTTTCTCGTCATTGGCTCACTAGTCACCCTCCACCATGTTCAGCCAGGTTTGTGCTGAAGGATCCTCTGGGGCAATAGCTAAGAGGTCTTGTCGGGTGGCGAAATTGACCTGAGCTTGCCTCTGGCTCCGGCGCTGTAAAAACATGAAGATGATAAAGGCTCCAGCACACATAAGCACTCACTCCGAAGGAGGCTGTGTCTGCCCAATTCTTAATGAGTTTCTGCCTGCCAGTTGGAGCCCCTTAAGTAAGGTCTCAGCTCTGGTGGGGGGAACCCTGGTGTTATCAGCTAGAATAATCTCATGAGCCAATTTGTGCATAAGATTAGGAAATTATACACTCCAGGGCCCATGAATAGCAGCGTTAAGCATTTTCATTGTATCCATTAGGCTTGCAACCTTAGCAGTGGTAACATAGTATCATTGTGAGTGGCCAAAGCAATTACAGCCTGCCCCATAAAGTGTCTACTGTGCTAGCAGTAGCAACTGACTGACTAATGACCACTCCAGCAGCCACAACAATGGCCGCCATCATGGCTGCTGTAATGCCAAAATCTCCTCTTGCTCGATGCAGGGTGAGTTGATCATCATGGGATGTGTTGACAGGCAGAGGAACAATCCCTGGCACTTGGACCACCACAGCCAGCTCCTCAGAACCCCAGCTACTCCTCAGCTGATGAACCTGTTCAGAACAGTTTGAAACTGTAGACATATCAGCAGGCTGGGGCAGTGACATAAACTCCCGCCCGGAAAGGAACATTTTTATCTTTTCCATTTTGCTGAATCCTCAGAGTGCAAAATCAAGGCCCCCAAAGGTACCAACCTCCAAAGGCAGGAAGCCAGCATGTTGCATGGCGTTACGGTAACAAAAAGGCCTGCTGTCCAGGGACTGATTTTTGGCTGGTGACTTGGGACCCCACCACCATAGATCTGTTTGAGACAAATTAAGAGTCCAGGGGGAGGTGGCAATGCCCAAAGTATGGAAAGACTCCAATCATAGCTCAAAGGCTCAGGCCAGCAGCGACTGACTGGAACTGGGAGAATCCTGCTAACAGAAGTACTGGTATTGATGGGCACCCATACATTCTTGAGACTATCCACTGAGCACTGGTGGCCTTAGGGGCAAAATCAGCAACGGAAGCATTGCTGAGCGCAAGGCAACCACTTGCTGCAATGGAACTGAAATAAGCTCGTGAGGTTGACTCCAATTAAATTCCAAATCCCCATGATATTGGTTTTGGTGATATCCAAAGGCACAGTGGGTTTGCCTGTGCTAAAGGGTCACACGGGGCTATCCTGTCCTCCCGGCATCAGAAACGGAGGATTCTTTACAGTGCCCATCTGATTCACTGGGTGTAAGGCTAAGTTCCACAAAGGAATCCATTAAAGCCACAGTGAAGGGGGCATGAATTCCATAGGCCATAACTGCTTCTTAATGTCCTTAAAGGCTAAAGGATTATGCTGCCTGGTCCACTGTCCTTGCAGATCAATAACCTCCACAACAGGATAAATTTGCCTCTCTCTGCTTAGATTATTTAGTCTACCTTGGATCTTTCAGATTTCTGTCTCTAAGTTCATAGGGGCAGAGGCAGCAGCAAAAGGATTTGAAGCGGCAAGGAATGGATTCTGCCACTGGGGTCTTATGGAGACATTTCTGTTTGTCTCCTTCCTTTCTTTCTTCTTCTTCCAACGTCTTTTTAAGCAGTACAATCTCACTTTCTAAAGTCTCTTCTTACTCCTCTATATCCCTTTTAGAACTTTTAACTTCCTCATCCTCAAAGTTTTTAATAGACTTCACGGATTCTTCATCCTGAATCCTCTCAAAGGTTTTGGCCAAATTCTCTAATTGTTTTATCACTTTTACATTATCGCTGAGAAACGTCTCTTTGACTAAATGCCACAGCAAAAATGTTGCTATGGAGAATTCTTCTGGCCCTTGCTCTTTTAAAGCTTTTTGAAGGTCAGCTTTTACCTGCTCCCAATCAGGAATATTAAAGCCCTCTGCTTGTGGAAACCAAGGACTAAACTCTAAAACTGTCTGAATGAACTCTTGTGCTGTCTTAGTTTTAATAGCAGTGCCTTGTTTCCTTAAAAGAATTATCAATTTGTCAGTCAATACTTGAACTGAATTACTAGCACCTATCTTCAATTCACCTTACCATCAATATCTTACCTGATGGCCGGCATCCAAGGGTGATGTCTCAGGGGTCTTTACTTCCCGATCTCGCTGGGGCCTCCACCTGTAACACCTGTGCTATGGGACAGTTTGCAAATCAGGCAAGGGGCTGGAGAGTAAAGAACACAAGAGACGTGGGTCATTGGTGAAGAGAGAACACAGAATGCCGTTTATTCAAGATAGAGAAAGCCTTATGTACCTAACTGCTGCACAGTGGAAATCCCCCAGGCAGGTGGGAAATTACCAGGCTCAAGATGGAGCAATCAACTCCCCTGTAGCTAACCACCAGGGTGGGCAGAGCGAGCACAGGAACAAACAAGTTGTTTTGTCAGAAACTGTAAGCTATCCTCAGTATGAACCCTGGGAGAAGGGGTAGACCTGTGGGTCCTACAGATGAAAAGGTTTGCTTTGGTTTATGGTTCTGGAGGGATGGAGTCGATCACAAAAGTGAAGGCAGGGTTAGGCACGATGGTAGGAGCTAGGATGCTGTCTGGGCACATTTTCACATATTCATCTATGTATAGGTACAGGAAGTGGGAGAGAGAGGAAGAGAGAGAGAGAGAGAGAGAGAGAGAGAGAGAGAGAGAGAGAGAGATTAGGAAAGGGAACAGACTGTTTATCTTTAAGGTCCACCTCCAGTAACATATTTCCCCTGACAAGACTCCACAATTCAAAGATCCCATAGTCTCCCCAGACGCCACCAATAATTAGGAACTAAGCATTCAAACACACAAGCCTGAAGGGATATTTCTCATTAAACCACTACACTCCCTCACATCAGACTTTCAGTTTTCCTCCACGGTTATGCTCCTTTCTCTTTCTCTTAGTGTGTGTGTGTGTGTGTGTGTGTGTGTGTGTGTGTGTGTTCCTTTTTAAAAAGCACTAAATATAATTCACAAGGGAAGACGGAAACCCAAGGGATAAAATTATAATAGCTACGGCTGATTGACCCATTAATGCCTCCAATTAGAACACGCGGTTCCAAAGACACACACAATAAAAGAAGCATTTACCAGAAAAATCATCTTGGAGCAAATTAATAGGTATCATCAGAAGAAAAGAAGCTTTATGTCTGGCGTTAAACTGACTGAGCAAGCACCGTGACATCAGGACTCTGCCTTACGCACTGTCATTGTGTGCGAGATGAGGGGAGGAGAGTTAAAGTCTAGAGTCCTCCTCCTGGGCTTCAGGTCCCTAATTCTGGCAACTTCTGATTCTTCTTGAGTGTTCGTGATGCTGCTTCAGCAGTAGACATCACCTATTTTCCTTTAGATAATTTGAGAATAGTTTCATGTCTAACATAAAATGATATTTTAAGTGGGTTTCTTCCCACAATGGCCTGGTCTCACTCCACTCCGTGCTGCCACCCGGAGCTGTGCCTTGAAGCCATTTCCTTCTCTGCTAACCGAGCTTTCCTCCCTGGAAGAGGTGATGAGATGAGTGTCTACAAAACGCTTGTCTAGGAGCTGCCACGGGGGTGGGGGAGGCGCTTCCAAAGTCAGTTGCTTCCTTTCCCTCCTTCAGTTGATGTTGGGATTCCCCTCTGTGTGCTGTGGCTATGCTTTATTGCCATCGGTTAATAAAGAATCTGCTTTGGCCTATGGCAGGGCAGGAGAGAGCTGGGTGGGAAAGCCGAACAATACAGGGAGAAAGAAGGTGGAGTCAGGGAGATGCCATGTAGCTGTTGAAGGAGAAAGGTGCCATAACCTTACGGGTAGGCCACAGCCTTGTGGCGATGCACAGATAAACAGAAGTGGGCTAATTCAAGATGTAAGAGGTAACTAGGAATACACCTAAGCTGTTGGCTATGCAGTGTTGTAATTAATATAATTTTTGTGTGGTTATTTGGGTTTGGGTGGCCAGGAATCAAAGTGCAATCTCTGCATTCAGTTGAGGCAAGAATGTGCCCTGCAGCTGCAGACCCAGAAAAGAATCAGCATAGGGTAGACTATGAGCTACTGCCGTGACACCAGGCCACAGCATCTTGTAGAGACTTTGGTACCAGAAGGCCTGACATTTAGTTATGGCTCTGTTACTCAGTAGTCATGTAGCTTAATGCAGGTTGTTGAAACTCTCAGAACCTCAATTTCTTCATTTGAACCAAAATGTGAAATGAGTCTTTCAGAGGGAGGACTCTCTTTGTTTGCTGCTCCTCTGACACTTTTCCATACAAGGGTTCTATTTCTTCTCGTGTGCTCCTGCAGAGACACCTGTACCCTGGGTTTAGGTGGTGGCCATGAGTTCCCAGACTGTGTACAATTGCTTATTTTTAAAAATCTATTTATTTATTTATTTATTTTGAGACAGAATGACCTTGAGACCCTGGTCCTCCCTTTCTCTACCGTCTGAGCCCTTGGATTACAGGTATGTGTCTGCACATCTGGACCATAATCCAGTCTTTTCCTTAAAAATATTTTTTTTTATTTTCATGAATATGAACATTTGCCTGCATGCATGTAAAAGCACCACATGCATGCCTGGTGCCCTCTGAGACCAGCAAAGGGTGTCAGAATTCCTGGCACTGGAGTCACAGAGAACTGTGAGCCACTCTGCAGGTGCTGAGAACGTGACCAGGTTCTCTGCAAGAGCAGCCAGTGGGTTGCTATGGGAGGGACGCACATATATTGGTGACAGAAGGAGGAAGAGGACTCAAGCCTCAGTAGCCAGATTAGCTGAATCAACCCTGACCACCATGATGACCTATGTCACAGTCGGATTTCGCTTACATCCTTACTCCTCATTCTTTGTACGTAATGTAATACGGGTTAGTCAGAGCTCCACTGAGCGTGGGTTCTGCACAGCTCACAACTTTATCTCTGAGTCTTCACGACCACAAGCCCTAGCTTCATGAGGCTGTGGGGAGCTTGGGTCTCTGTTAACATTGGCTGGATGTTTTCTGTGTGTTCTGAGGTTCTTCATGCGTGTGTCACACAGAAGCTCTGGGATTGATGCTGTCACCATCATTTGGAGATGAGAATGGAGCCTTCACGGTACTCTTTCCCAAGGCTATATAGCTATCGTAGGACAAAGAGCCTCACTCGGTCCTTGTGCCCCAGAGGAAACTCGGGAGGCGAAATGAGATGACGCAGAGAGCTCAGGCTCTTGACTCAGAAGGACGGTGGGGCTGGTACTTCCTCAACTGTGAGGGAGGACCAAATGCTCTGAGATTGGAGGGCAGAGCCCCTGTCTCAATTTCATCCACGCTCCCTGAACTGTCTCCCCTGGTAATTATTCTACAGCCTTGGGAAGTTATCAAGGGACAAAGTCACCCTGCGGCCTTGCTTAGAAGAGTTCTCATCAAGGGCATGCCCAGCTAGCTCCTTAAGGGCTGGAGAAAAGAAGTAATGGAGAACAGCAAAGTAATTAACTATGTACTCAGACCCTCTGCACATCGATGACTGTGTGAGTCCGGGCTGGGCGAGAGGGGAGCAGTTCAATGCTAGTGTAGGCTTTCCCAACACTGACTGGGAAGGGGTTGGGTCTAATGAGTCTTAACAAAGGGGCTTTGAAATTTCTGAGATGAAAGGCTGTGAACTTCTCAAGAAGCTTTGCTGGTTCCCACTGATCTGTGGGCTGCAGTGAGGCGTGGATTTGATGAAGTCATTCAACATGCTGGCGATGCCATATTCTAGTTTGTATCTTTACTACCTAATGAGATGTCCCCATGTGGAGTGGGTTCTCTGAACTCCAGTTTCCAATGACAGAGGCGTGGGTCTGATGTGGTTTCCCTTCTTGTCTCTGGTCTTTCTTATTATCCAGTCACCTCTTCTGTTTATAAAGTGCCCTGTATGCTTCTAGGGGAGTGGTGTGGGCGCAGGGGTGGGGATGGAGGGCAGTGGTGCTCTCTTCTTTTTCCTCTTGCATATACCAATCAGAGTACATGAAAACCAATGCACGGGCAATCACAACACTGCGTCCTCCCTATGTGCATGTGTGCGTGCATGTGTTCATGTGTGTGTATGTGTGTCTGTGTGTGCCTGTGTGTTGGAGAGTTTGCAATCAGAGCAACAGCAAAATCCCCAACTCAAGAGTAAGCATAACTTCTGCAACATTGAGAGTCTCCATGAAGGGCCTGTGAAACTGAGCTAGGCATTTAAACCAAAGCTTCAGTCTCAGGACAGAAGGTCTGGAGACTGGCAGTGCACACTGGAAGGAAGGCCTGAGAGGCTTCTGTATGCATCTCAGAAGCCATGACACTCGATCACCCAAGAAAAACCCTAGCTTAGCTGAATCTACATGTATGAATAAGCATAAGTATATATTAATAAGTAAGTATATTTCCCTGCTGCTTTATTGGCGAAAGGATGTCTTGATAGATCTTTGTGTATCGTCCACGGCATCTCATATTTTCTTGGTGAACATTGGTCAGAGTCCCTTCAGCCTCAGTTTGCTCTTAGGGCTGCAGGCAATTAGATTTTATCTGTGCTCCATCACAGGATGTGAATGAGCTGGTTGGCTGCAACAAGAAGGGCTTTATAGGTGGTCCGCTTCCAGTTTGAGGACAGTGTGACGTAGTTGTTGCATTTGTCAAAGAAGGACCACCAACCACTCTGATAAACTAATTCATATATGGACTAATTAGGGTACGGTGGGCATTCAGAATCTTGAATGAGAAGCGTTGGGAATGAGTACTGCCTGGCATAACCTCACATGGGGATGCGCATGAACTCATCTCTCAGAACTTTGCTTGACTTTTATATGCATGGGTGTTTTGCCCGCATGTATGTATGTGCACCACATGCATGCCAGGTGCCTGCAGACATCAGAAGAGGGCATCAAATCCCTGGAACTGGATTTATGGATGGCTGTGAGCCACCAAGTGGGTACTGGGAATCAAGTCTTGATCCTCTGCAAAAGTAACAAGTGCCCTAAACTGTAGAACCTTGTCTCTGGTCACTGTTGTTGTGGATGGATTAATCCTCCACAACCCTGCCCCCCACCTGCTTTAAGGATCAACACAACAGTGGGTATAAGTGATGAGAAGCAATATAGAGGAGACTTGAATAGCGTTGGGAGGATCAGAGGTGTAGTCACTACTCAGGGAATGTCTGTATTTTCACGAAGTTTCTCTGGGGGTGAAATGCTTCCTGTTGCTCTTCTCTGAGGAATTTCCAGCTTAGCCATCCTCACACCACAGCTAAGACTCCAGGGCATGAGTGGTGGGCGGTGGATAGCAGGCACTCGGTCAGTTGCGTGAATGGAGATTATGGGGTGCGTAATGGAATGTGATAACGAGATACTTCCTGGGTCTCGTGAGGGAACATTTAGTTACTGGGCTTACAACCATATCTATAACTATAGTAATTCAGACAAAAAATAAATACAGGACGCTCCAGGTTCTGACATAGCATCATCTCTCACAGAACCTGGAGCTCACTGGTCTAGCCAGCTGGCTAGCGAGTAGTTCCCGGGATCCCACCTCTGCGTCTGTCCCCCCAGCACTAGGACTGTAGAACTTTACAGCTACTAGGAGTGGTGGCACACGCTGTTGATCCCAGCACTCAGGAGGCAGAGACAAGAGGACCACTGTGAGTAGGGCCAGCCTTGCTGGCTTTTTACACAGGTCCCGGGGATCTGCAGTCAGGTTCTCTTGTTTGCACGGTGAACATTTCACCTGTTGAGCTGTGACTTCAGATCCGGTTTCTAATTTCAAAGCACCAGATCCTATCAACGGTTAAAGCACTGCCTACCAGCTTCAAATGAGCCTTCTTGTACTTGACACTGGGGGACGGGAGTTATGTTTCCCTTTGCCAGTTTCTCCCTGGTAGGTTTTGCCAGTAGGGGGCACTACAGGAAGGCTGGAGAAGGGAGAGGGGCCATAGACCTTCCTGGGCAGTCAAGAATCATTTGTCCTGGTAGCCACGGGTGGGAGCAAGGGTGGGTGGTGGAGGGATGGGTGCCATTGCTACTTTTTTTTTTTTTTGGTCTAATCTGTGGTCAGTTGCTTCAGTGGCCAGTGCCTCTTCCTTAGAGTGACCCTCCTCAGAGACTCCTTGTCCCTGGGAGGTCCCTCAGCTTGTTGTAATTTTGACCCCTCCCGCGCGTGCGTGTTCCCAGTGCAGGGGGAGGGTCTGTTGCTTATGCTTGTTGCTCATGTGGCGGGTTCTGACTTACAGGTTCGCTCTTGCTTTTCAGGTCTGCCCAGCCCAGCGAACCATAATTTCTGTTAATTCCTCTATAAAAGCAATGCTGTGAACCACAGTTCGATCATGCTCCAATTAGTATATGAGCAACACAAATTGGACTCGATGGTATTTTGCTTTGTTTTGTTTTTTATTTTCTATTTTGTGTGTGTGTGTGTGTGTGTGTATGTGTGTATGTGTGTATGTGTGTGTGGCTAGGGTAGGAAGGTGGACTAGGGAGGAATGGGATAGAGTGTGATGGGGTGCATTGTACAAGATTCTGAAATGGTAAATAAAGGTATTATGTTGGAGGGAAAAACAGCGGTGTGGGGACTGCTGGGTTCCTGCTCAGTATGTAAGAAACAAACCAGTTGCCATTCCATCCTAGCAAGTGAAAAACAGAAACACTGAGAGAACAAAAGCTGCTCTTAGAACCCGGGGGAACTGAGGTTGCAGAGAAAATCATGCGTTCCAAACTGAGAGAACATGCTTCGCAGGGGAGCATGTGCAGTCAGAAAGGGTGCCAGCAGCATGTAAGGGCAGGGTGGGAGCAGTTCGGCTCATTGCCCCTTTAGAAGACATCTTGCTGCTCGTGGGACAGTTAATGTTATCTGAAAGTAGACGTGTAGTGGATGCAAAGCTAACTGTAAGGCCATCACGGAAAAAAATAGCGACAGACAACTGATCTGCTTAGAAAGGACAGTAAACAGAATACTAAGAACTAGAACCACAGGAGTCGAAGAAAGAAAGGAAGAAGAATACAGATCCAGAACAGTGAACGGAAGAGAGAGCCCACTGTGGTGGCTGTGCCTGTCACCCCAGCTCTTGGAAGGCTAGGACTGGATTGTCATGATTTCAAAGACAGCTTATAGCAGGAGTTCCAGGCAGCCTAGGTTGCAAAGTGAGACTGTCTAAAACATAGCCTCACAAAAACATAAATAAAGAAGTGTGTGTGTGTGCGTGTGTGTGTGTGTG